GCACCTCCAGTAAAGAACATTCCTCACCTAAAATAAAGTCAAAATGAAGCCCAGCCAGTAAAGGTCTCCACCTAATCGGTTCAGAGAACAAAACTAAAAAGTAATCAGCAAAACCCTTACAAATCTCTTCTTCCTTGCAAAACATCTTCTCATCCACCCGAATCTTCCCAATATGATTGCCTCTTTTGTGAGCATTGGCAAGTCTATGAAAAAATTTCGTGTTGTTGTCACCTTCTTTGAGCCACAAAGCTCTAGACTTTTGCCTCCAAGAAATTTCCTCCATGACAGCAATCTCAGCAAACTCTGGTTGACACTCCACCCTCCTAAGTTTCAAGGAATCTGTCAAAAAACCTTGACCCTCTAATCTATCAATATCTACAATCTCAGAGAAAACTCGATTCTTCCTCCACGCAAAATTACTGAAAACCTCTTTGTTTCAGACTTTAAGATCATTCTACCCCACCCACCAAGAACGGATATGATCCAGAAAACCCTCAGCCCGAAGCCACATATTCTCAATCCTGAAAGGGGATCTTCTACTACGCAACCTACCACAATCCAACATCAAAGGAACATGGTCAGACAAAGGACGAGCTAAAGTGGCCTGGATAACATCCGAAAAGTGCTCCTCCCAATCACTCGACACCAGGAATCTGTCAAGTCTAAGAAGGTAGGAGGAGAATGACCACTAGACCAAGTGAAGGGCCCACCCACCAAAGGCAAATAAATCAAACCAAAAACATCAATGAACTCCGAAAAAGACTGCATCTCGACCATCCACCTACCACCTGACGATCTCTCAAATGGGGAACAAACAACATTGAAATCCCCGCCAATACACCAATGCAAAGACCATCTCCTATGAACCTCTCCCAGCTCCGCCCAAAGTAAATGACGCACACTATCCTCTGTAGGGCCATAAATGCCAGAAAAACCCAACAAAAATCATCCTCCAACACAGAGAAAATGTAAGAAGCAGAGAAAAGCTTAACCTAAGAGTCCATCATAGAGACCCACCGGTTATCCCAAATCACAAGAACACCACCCACAGAGCCAATAGCATCCAGAGCAAACCACTCCACAAATCTACCTCATCATAAACTACGCACCAACAAATCCGTCATCGTCTCAATCTTTGTTTCTTGCAAACACACTACATGCCCACCCCTTTTACGAATCACCGCCTTCACCACTTTTCTTCTAGCCAAGTTATTGAGACCCTGGACATTCCATGATAGAATTTGTAGCTTCATAAGGAAACAACCGAGCGAATAGACTCATCCCTCCCTCCAAAACCCTTCTCCCTAAAACCCTTGTTCCTTCTTTCATAAGTGACAAGTGTCGTTGGGCTCAACACTCCCCTCTTCTCCACCTCTATCTCCCCCGGCAGACTCCCCCTACTTTCCCTACCACCCATTCTATCCAAATGTTGAGAAGACAGAACCTCCAAAAACATATTTGTCGCCTCCTCCATTCGACCTTCAAAAAAAACTCCCAGCAAATAGCCAATCTCAATTCCTTTCTCCCTCACCCAATTCTCCTCCATATCAGCCCTTCCAGAATCAAAACCAGCCCCCATCCTCAAAGACCTCATCCAGATAAACAATCGCCAAAGGAGAAAAGAAATCAAAATTCGTCTCATTGCCATTCCACTGACCTGACCCCAAATCCTCAAAAAAAGAAGAGCATGATCCACCATCCCCATCCTTAAAGACTGACGAGGAAAGGAAATAACAAGCCAACAGGGTCCCTTTTTCTTCAGCAGCCAAAGACCCACTCGTCCCACACTGAAAACCTAAGAAGCACGGACACAGATACGACACGACACGGACACGGCGACACGGCAAATCCAAAAAAATTAGGACACGGACACGGCGAGGACACGGCAAATAGTGTGTATATATATATATACACACACATGATGTAGTACTTAAAAAATTACTAAGTGTTACTATTTTTCATCAACCTCACAATGAAAAAAAAACACAAATCATAACTCATAACTAATAAACTATAAAAGAACAATGTTGCAGATTTATAAAACCAAATAAAAAATAAGACATTAGAATAATAACTAGTATCATTTAATCATCATTGCAACTTTATTCCAAATACAAAAGCATAGACAGAAAGGACTATTAACATTTATGACTGTTTAACATTCAGGACTTTATTATTAGCACTTAACATTCACAAAAACCTAAAGGCTAGTCCCCAAAAAAGATAAAAAAAAATAAGTTAATGTACTATCATCTATTCCTATCCATCATTTGACCTAGGACTTTTACCATTTACATTACCAAAAGAGTAGTACAAAACAAAAAACATAACATATCAGCATTCAAAAAAAAAAAAATTCCAGACACGCGGAATGTCCGTGCCGTGTCCGTGTCCACGGAGTGTCCATGCCGTGTCCGAGCCGTATCCAAAAATTAAAAATTAAAAATTAAAAATTAAAAATTCCAGACACAGTTTTTTGGTGTGTCCGACACGTGTCGGGTCGTGTCTAAGGCATGTCCGTGTCCGACACGTGTCGGACACGGATTCTCTGTCCATTTTGGAGTGTCGGTGCTTCTTAGCTAAAAACCCTTTAAGGCCAAATGAGTCCATAACTGACTCAACAACACAGTCGCTGAAGCATCATCGAAGCAAAATTTCAAATCACGTCCCACATATACTGTGACACTCTCATCCTTCTGAACCACAGACCGAGATGGACCCAACCCATCAACCTGGAAAACCCCAACATCATCCTTCCACCCATTCTCCAATCCATCCTTCAAATTAGAGGAAAGGTTGTTGGACAAAGAAAACCCCGGCCTCAACACACCCTCAGAGCATCTCCTCGAAAAATCAGAAGAAAAAGAATGGGAAAAAGAGGAAGGAACCACATGCGAAGAACAATTCAAGAAACCATCTTACCCGGGAGAGAGTCTAAAATAAGAACTCATTTTTGTTTCTCCTTTCGAGTCCGATTTCTTCGCATGGCCGTGAGGAGAATCCTCTTCTTAAATCTCAGTCGATGCCCCTGAGAATGATACTTAGCACGCCATCCGTCTTTAAAGAGCGATGAACCAGACAAATGAGATGGATTAGCAACAGAAAGTGGTCCAAACTAGTTGGCCACTTCCAGTCCAGAGCCCAAAATAGGCCCAGGATCAATGGGCTCGACACTTGGCCCACAACCCAAAACAGTTGAGGGAACATCAGAGTAAATAGGGGCCTCCACACCTTTATCAATCCCACACATCATAAACCCTTGGACCTTATTAAAGTTAGGCCCAGAAACCGATCCCACAGGGAATGAGACATGATCCCGCACAACAATAGCCCCACCCGCTAGCCAATCACGGGCTCGGAAGCAAGCCCACCACCACCTGAGCCCAAATTAACTTTCCTCGCCCCAATGCCAGAATTCAAATTGGATACAGCTGTATCCCACTTAAAACGGTTGCCATTTCTGCGCCAACCACGTGTGTGGTCACTATCGCTTCCCTATCTATGCGCCCGATACGCGTGAGACCCAACTCGATTCAACCTTCGTTCCCAATCTGTAAAAACATCTGCCGCCTCTACAAATCCCGGCGACCAAGATTCCGACCACCAACCTTCGAGGAAGAATGGCTTTCCCTCCTACGCTGAGTAAAGATCCTTCTGAAGCAAGCAGTGTTTCGATCCCACAGTTCATCCTCCACTCCTTCCATCGCTGAAACTCCTCCATCCTTTTTTCACCCATGGAAACCCACCTCAACCACTCCTCTTCTTTCAGCAAGTGAGAACCGTCACCCCTTTCCAGGTTGTTCGTCGTCTGGACAAGCTGTGGAAGAGTCTCCTCCCAAACAGCCACCTTATAGCAAAATTGGTCATTATGAACAAAAATGAAAGGCGGGCAAGCACAAACATCCGACACGGTAATCTGAACCCTCTCAGCATCAACAGATTCATCAGCATCCACCCAAATAAACCCCCCACACAAATCCCCAACCGTAAAAAAAAGAGCATGGTTCCAAAGGTGAAGAGGAAGGCCAAACAACGAAACTTTCTTCAGCCCTTCTCTTTTAACACCTCAGAGTAACCCACCCTAAAATTCCACGAATCCACCTAGAAAGTGACCTTCTCCCAGTCGCGGCGTCCCTCCTTGAGCACTCTCTCAGCCTCCACCTTAGATGGAAATTGAAAGAGGAACAAAGAATCTGGCAAAGGCGAGACAACCACCGCCGGCGAAACATTCCATACCCAAGAAGGCTAAGCTGCAATCTGATCTCTATTCCCCACTTCTTTATCGAATTTTCCTACCAAGCAAGTCTTTAGATCCTCCTTTCTCTTACCAACCGAGTCATCATCCAAAAAGATCAAGTCACCTCTGTGAGTGGAAGCAGATTTCGCGAATCCACCCTGAAACAATTGAGGCAAACGAGCGACTTCCAAAAAAAGAACGCATGACATCCTTTATACATAAAGTTTCACACGCACAAAAATAAATGTCTATTTTTTGAATCCTTAGGAAAATTTTCAAGTTTAGCATATCTTGGAGGACCTCTAAATCTCTCATTTTTTTATCAATATTTTTTCAATTTCCTGGATCATTAATGTTTAAAGGAAGATTATCATTCTCGTTCATATATTCTTCATTTACCAAATCTTCAAGTTCATTCACATTTTCTTCATTTTGATTCTCATTTCTATCTCCATTCATTAAATCTCCATGTTCATTAAGATTTTCTTCATTCCTATGTTCTTCATTCACCAAATCTTCAACTAAACTCTCTGTTTGTGTATTGTTCCTAAAAAGCTTATGAATAACATCTTTTTGAGATTGAATCAAATTTTTTTTTTCATGCCCAGATTCAAATTTTCTTGTAGACATGAATGACAACAACAACAACAACAACAACAACAACAACAACACAAAAAAAAAAAAGAAAAAAAGAAAACAGAAATAGATGTTATAGAATTAAAAAATATATATATTTGTTTTACTGAAATAAAATGTAGATTACCTCAAAATGCAATGCAATGAATATGACACTATAATACATTTTACTGTAATCAGCCCCTTCACACCAACACTAAAATCAAGCTCCTCCAAGTTGCTCAACGCACAAAAGTCTACAAAAAATGAAAATTTTGTTGTTTATGTATTAATAAATTTTGTTACTTTATATTGTACTTTGTTTCATATACAATTCGATGCCCATATTAATTGACAGATTTATGCTTGATGTGGTTAACATCCAATTTATTATTAGCATGGAAAAAACTGGAATAAAAAATATGTATATTTTGAATAATTGAATAAATGACTTACCAATCTGAAGTGATGGAAGCAATCTAAAAGATGGTAGGACCGTAGGATGCTGTAATTATAAAAATTATAATCCACGATAAGGGCCTTCAGCTTGTTCAAGACTCAAGTTCAACCCAAATTTAACAATTAGTCTTTCAAATCCTGCAAAGGGAGATCCTGTTTCAGTCATTATCTGAAAAAAAATTATATAAAAATGATCATAAAAAATTTCACCAAATAGGATTTAGTTTGCAAAATAAGAATTACAAACCTAATTAATTGATTTAAAAAAAAAAAAAATTTCAAAACAAAACCCATACCTACAAGTTAGCAGTTGCAGAGAGAGAGGGGGGCAAGCTCGAGAGTTGAGAGACAGCGGGCCAGCAGCTGAAGCTTGCGAACGGTGAACCGAACTGGAACAGCAGAAGATGGAAACTAAAGGATATGGGTTTTGGTTATTTGAACAATCTGAAATGATATGCCGTTATGGGTTTTGATATAGGTAATAGGTTTTGAAATTTTGATTCTTACAGACAGATAGATAAACTGAAGTATATGGATTTTGAAATTCTGATTCTTATAGATTTTGTAGTTTGCAGTTGCAGAGACAGAGAGAGGGCAAGTTCAAAGTTGAGAACGATAATAGAGATGGAGGCGATTAGGGAGGCTGAAATGAATTGCCCGAATTTTTTTTTTTTTTTTTTTTTTTTTTTTTCCCTTTTTCTGGTGGCTTAGGCGACTGCCTTGGGTCAGGGCAGGGTAGCGCCGACCCTACTAATTATGAAGGCCTTCGCTATGCATATGTAGATATATATATATATTTTTTTCTCTCTTGTCAAAACTGGTTATGCGAGGTGTGTATTGATAGTATTATTCTCTATTGTTCATATGTCAACATGCTCAACTAATAAAAGTATGACGAATGTGAAATTGGACCACCTATTTTATTAAACTACTCTTAACTTATTAAAAAAAAAAAAAAAAACTTAATTGTTCTTAATACAGTGATAACATCATATCACCCACTATTATACACAAAGTATAATCGGTGGAGGGCACAAAGGAATCCTTAAATCACTTGACACCTCATTCCCTAGTAGTACACAAGCTCTAAATTAATAGCTTCAACAAACTTACTTTCTAATCAAAACATAATGCAAATAATAACATGATGTACACACAAATTTTGTAATCTGCAAATAAGAACCAATATGGAGCAAAATACAATATTTTATTAATTTAAAAAAATTAGAGTACAATCCTCTGTAATAATATTCCAAAGAATAAGGTTATCTGATTCGATCTCTTTTTTGTAGTTGGTTGGATACAAGGGTTGCACGACCTTGATCTTGAATCACCGTGGAATGTGGATAAAGAATGGCATGATTTGATGTGCTTGTTGTTGATCACCGTGGAATTTGGATGAAGAACGGCACGATTTGATGTGCTTGTTGTTCTTCACTTTTGGGTTTGGATTCTGAATTTCTCTCTGGAATTCTGGATTTCTGAATTCTAGATTTGTGTGTCTGAATTTCTGAACCCTCTGGATGTCTGTGTCTCTGAATTTCTGGACCTTCTGGATTTTAGAATTTGTCTCTGAATTTTTGGACCTTCTGGATTTCTGAGTTTTGAATTTGTGTCCCTTCTAGATTTCTAAGTCTCTGAATTTCTAGATCTTCTGGATTTCTGAATTCTGAATTTATATACCCCTTCTTTCTTCCTCCAGGCCTCTATTTATAGGCTTCTTGGATCCATAGGATGATGACACGTGTCCTTTCCTGATAATAATAAAATCATAACTGGACCGGGCCGGTTATATTATGGTAATTATCCTTAAAAATAATTATTCCAAATATATTTTATTAGGAATAATTATCTTTCCATTTAATCATCTGGGCTGGACTAATTAAATAATTTAAGTGGACCAAGTTTGGGTCAATTAAATAACTTAATTAAATATTGACCCATATTTAATAGGTCAATTTATCAAAACAAAAGTCCATTAAAATTTTAGTGTCTACAAATTGCTCCCACTTCGAGTCCCATGTTTGACAGGGCTTGTCTCCTTTTTCAAGTGAGACTTAAAGTATCTAACTTGGTCTTTGAATTTTAAAAGGCTTTCCTATCCAACTTTGGATTATAAGATTTACTTTTTCCCTTTCCTATCTAACTTTGCGTTAGAATTTTACTTTCCCATTTTTTGAATTGAATTATACAAATCGCAGTACAAATAGGAGATATTTTGTTGCCTATATATACCACCAATGTTATAGGGTTTGCCATCAATTCCAAAACCTCTGAAGACTTGTCAGATTGCAGCGTCTGAAGATTTTGTTGGATCGAACAAATAATTGGTATGACTTTCCTGTCTTTTTCTTTTTTTTTTTTTTTTTTTTCTTTTTTTTTTTTCACGTTGATTTTTTTTTTCTTCTTTCCTTTATTTATTTATTTATTTTTTTTCTTCACGCATTTTTTCCTTCCTTTTTTTTTTTTTTTTTTCACGCTTTTTTTCTTTCTTTCCCCTCTTTTTTTTTTTTTTTTTTTTTTCTTTCCCTGTTTTTTTTTCCCTTTATTTATTTATTATTGTTTTGTGGCTTTGCAGGTATTTTGATCAAATCCTTGGCATGTTTCCATTGCTTCCTTCCACATTCAGAAAAGAATGAAGAGTGAGATTTCAATTGAAACCCATATTGGTCCGGTGTTGAATACTTTGCTTCCGACTTTGATTTTAACTTCACACGCGTATTAAATTACCATCAATGGGAGAGAGAGTTGCACATTCAGAGTAGTAGATTGGCAAGGTGGTTTCAGAAAAGAATTCCGGCTTCGAGAAGTCAGACCAAGAGTGGTAACCTTGACGATGGACTACGCCCCGCACCAGATCCCACTAGATTTCCATGGCATTGCTCGCTTGAAACTTCCATTCAAGGCATTTGATTTTGTTAAAACTGACCTTGATTTATATATATATATATATATATATATATATATATATATATATTTTTGTTGCAACGCTTCTATGACAAGCCTTATCATTCCACTGTCACCACATTCATTGTAGGTTGCCATAGCCGTAGAGGGAGACACTACAGTTTGCAACAAGAAGATCACCAACTATGTTGATATATTCAAGGCATCAACTCTTCGAAGAATGAACGAAATATACACTCTGGCCACTAGCACCATGATGAGAAGTTATTGTAGATGGTGTGAGGAGGTGACAGATGCAGCTTGCATTCCTATGCCTCTATATAGTGATTTTTTTTTTTACTTCAGCAATACCTTGATGAAAGACCAAATTTCTCTTACAGCAATAGTGAGCAAAATTTTTTTTTCTTTCTGCAATACCACAACGGAAAACCAAATTTCTCTTTCAGCAACACTTTGGCGGCAAGTAGATTTTTGTTTTTCAGCGACACCTAGGCGGTGAACCAGATTCTTTAGCGACGCCTTAGCAGAAAGTAGAATTTATTTATTTCTTCCAGTGACACCTTGATGATGAACCGGATTCTTCGGCGACACCTTGGCTGCAAATCGAATTTATTTATTTCTTCTAGTGACACCTTGATGACGAACCGGATTCTTCGGCGACACCTTGGCAGCAAATCGAATTTATCTATTTCTTCCAGCCACACCTCAATGACGAACCGGATTCTTCGGCGACACCTTGGCGGCAAATCGAATTTATTTATTTCTTCTAGCCACACCTCGATAACGAACAGGATTCTTCGGCGACACCTTGGCGGCAAGTCATTTTTTATAACGACACCTTGACGTCGAACTAAAAATCTTTGAAATTATTCTTTGAAACTACACTTTGCTGAAGGATCAAATTTCCTTTGTAGCTACAATTCTGGCGATGAACCAAAATTATTGTTTACAGCTACATTTGGCGATGGATCAAATTTTCCTTTACAGCTACAATTCTGGCGGCAGGCCTATTTATTTCTTCGCAGCTACACTTTGCCGGATCAAAATTTCTTTTGTAGCTACAACTATGATGATAGACCAAAATTCTTCTTTGCAGCTACACTTTGGCGGCAGACCAAATTTCTTCCTTGCAGCTATACTTTGGCGGCAGACCAAATTGACAGGTGCAACGAGCACTTTGCCATTTTGCAACTTTGAGGAGTTTTTTTTTTTTTAATTTTTTTTTTATTTTTTTTATAGTGGACTGAACTTGGAACAGGCCTCCAAGATACCTACGTACCCTGAACAGGGATCAAGTCATCACATAGTTCAATTTTTTTCTTCTTTCAGACAGTTTATACTCGTATCAAAGAGTTCTTGATTTTTTATTTTTATTTATTCAGGTAGACAGTTTAAACTCGTGTCAAGGAGTGTCATTTTTTTTTTCAAGTTGACAGTTTATACTCGTGTCAGGGAGTGTTATTTTTTTTTTTTGGGAGACAGTTAAAACTTGTATCAAGGAGTTCTTAATTTTTTTGTTTTCTTTAGGTAGACAGTTTAAACTCGTGTCAAGGAGTGTCATCGACAGTTTAGGCTCGTATCTGGGAGCACTTCAATTTGTATTATTCTTCAACTTTGAAAGAATCAGATGACAATCCAAACCTATGCTGAAGGGTATGGACTATCTCGTCGTCACTTTGAGGATTTTCTTCTTGGTTTCCTTAACTTAATGGCCCCTGTGATTTAGTACTTTTGGTTGAAGTCATTATTGTAGCATGGTGCGTTTCTTGATGCAAGTCTCTCGAGTTGATGCTTATAATGAAAGATGATGCTACTTCGTCATCTAAGTTAAGAAGTATATTGTCTTCTTCTTCGGACTCACTTCCCTCATCTTCTTGAAGGTTGTCGGGTATATCTAGAACATCTTTCCTAGCACCATGATTTTTCGTGCTAAGCTCTATATCGTGGGCTCGAGTAACAAGCTCTTTAAATGTGTAAGGCTTAATCCCTTGTAGGACGTAAAGAAGCTCCCAGCGCATGCCTTGCATACATGCTTCAACTGCAGAAATTTCAGACAAATGATCCTTGCAGTCAAGACTTAGAGCTCGCCAATGGTTGATGTAGTTAACCACGGGTTCACCCTTCATCTGTTTTGTGTTTGTAAGCTCCAGTATACCTACAATATGACGAGTGTTGTAGAAACGGTTGAGAAATTCTCGTTCCATCTGTTCCCAACTGTCAATACCTCCAGCTTTGAGTTCTGTGTACCAATCAAATGCATTCCTTTTGAGGGAACGAATTACCGCAAGTTTCTACAAAGTGTGCAACATGTTGCTTGTGATTGCCTTTTTCGTCAAATTGTTGAAGTTTTGGAGGTTAATACCTAATCGGCATTTTTAAGATGTCAATTCTTTCTGTGTAAGGCTTTGAGTACATGCGAGCACTTTGAGGAACGCCACTGTATTTTTCTCTTATGATATTCACTACCATGTCTTGAAGTTGTTGGACGGAAAGTAAGGTGATGGAGTGTGACGGCCCTGGTTTTTTAAGCCAATGCGTCCTGTGATGAACCAAAGATTGACCCGATAGCGGATCCAAATGCGGAAGTAAGAAACAGGACTCCCAAGGCACAACACGCCTCTAAGACACTTTGATGACCTTCCATGAGGTCGTGGAACTCAATGAGAATTGACGCGGAAGCAAAAAATTAGAAAAATAATAATTAAGCTCCGGGGGCAAAATAGTCATTTTACATGAAAATGACGTCCCTAGAATGTATATCATTCCTGAGACACATCCGTGACTTCCCATAAAGTCATGGAACTCAAAAAAAAGTAGCGGAAGCGGAAAGCA